TGGTGCAGACCAAGGTCAGCTGCTTCCTGTGCTTTGCCCAGGGCCACTTGATATGAGCTACAGAGTCATCTGAAGATGGTTGCCACTTGTGCTGGGCTTAGAGGTGCCTTGAAGATTCTTAGCTGTGAACCAAGGCCAGCTGCCACTAATACCAGACTTCGGGCTGCCTAACAAGAGATACAGGTCACCCTGAAGCCTGATGCTGCTTGTTTGGGGTTTATAAATTTTTGAGAGATTTTAGGAATGCCTGCAGACATGTTGTTTGTATGGAAAAGCCACTGTAAGCTGCTTGAGTAGGCTTGCAAATTGGGTGGAGTAGGGGTCTCAGAGAATCACCAGGGCAGGGTGAATAGTATTAGCTAGGTTGATGGAGATTCAAAGATGGCACTTGACTGTATGTGGAGGCTAGGTGGGCGAGGGGCTCAACAAAGGAACAATGGCTTTTGCCAGCACTTCAGCCCTCTCTCTGAAGCCAGACGGTTCAGTTCTTCCCCATATGTTCCTGGCACCTTTCAAGCTGCTGCCCCAGCGCCGGAGCTCAGGATAAGTGAATCTGTCAGTAAGTCCATGCCTGGGCCCTTTAACAGGAACACCTGGGACTCCAGCAGCCCTCTGTCTCAGCCATAATCTCCACTGGTTTTTACAGCCAGAGTAGTGGGGACTTCTCTCCCTGGCACCAGAATCCTGGGCCAGGGAGCCTGGTGTGGGGCTTGGACCACTTGCTCCTCAGGAGAGAACTCTGAAACCAAGATATCCCTTCTGATTTTTAACTGCCACGTGTGGGTCTGAGACTAGCCCGAAATGCATCTTCATCCTTCCTACCAGTCTCCACGTGGCTTATTCTGTATGTCCTTAGTTATAGGACTTCTGTTCAGCTAGACTTAAGGTGATTCTCAAAGATGGTTTTTATGTATTTTAGTTGTAATTTTGATGTGGTCGTGGGAGGAAGTGAGCACAGCATTTACCATACTCTGCCATCTTGACCAGAACTTAATAATCTTATTTTTAAAACTACCTAAACTTTTGATAGCTATCATTGTTGATTATTTTTGTGTGTATTTTTCTTGTACAAGTTTTTATATAACCTTCCTTTTCATAGCATACCATGAACGTCTTTCTATGTCAGTAAAGTTATATCTACATTATTTTTAATGGCTAAAAAAATTTCATTGTATGGAAATGAAATATTTTATTATTTTCATGTACCAGTACACTTTTGAACTAATAAGGTGTTGAGTATCTTTTCATCTGTTTATTGGTCAGTCATATAAGTATATTAAGCTCTTATTTTCTTCTCATATTTTCATTTAATTTTTTATATTTAAATTTTACTCCATCTAAAATACAGTAATTTAATATAAGGTATGAGGTAGGGATCTAACTTTTTTTTCATCAAATGATTAACAAGTTATCCCAATGTCATCTAATAACTCAGCAAGCATATGTCAAATTTCACTGCACAGACAGTAATTGATATTCTGCAAAAAAAAAAACAAGTTTACCATGGTGAAATGAGTTTGGGGAAAAAATCAAGAGTTCTTACCTCTCTATTCCTATTACCATTTAGGTCATGTCTTCCTACCTTTACTTTCAATAAAAATCTAATTGATCTCTACCTCTCAATTTCTCTCCCTACCAATTAATCCTGTATGCTATGGCTGAATTATTAACTTTCTAAAGCATTGACCTAGTCATTCATGGCTCCCCGTTTTCTCCAGTATAAATTCCGAACTCTTTCACCTGGAATTCAGTCTGTCACCACTTAGCTTCTAGTAATACTCCTATAACCCTCGCCTCACCCCTAGTCCTACTTCATTCCAGCCAGACTGGACTGCACAGTTAAAGTCACTTTCCTTGCCCTCTTAATTTCTTTTTTCATGCACCCAACTCTACCTGCCTTATAAGAGCCCACTTTTATGCCATTTTCTCCTTGAATCTTTCTTGATCGGAGCTCTCCTTACTTTTCACCCGCTTAGCCAAGAATGATTGTTCGCTTTTCTGAATTTGCATATATTTTATTTGTGTCTTATGGGTTTCTTCTCTCATTAGATATAAGCCACCTTACATCTCCCACAATACCTAATATTAGGTACTCAGTAGGTGTTTGTTGACTGAAAGAGGTAATATGTTCATTGTGTTCATTATAACATAATAGGCTTAAGGTGATTAAGGGTAGTTACTATGACTATCTCATTCTCATTCTGATCTTCCAGCCCTTAGCACATAGTAAGCACATAAAAACATATAGTTATCAATTATTGGAATATAAATTTCCTGAAGACATAATAGATATTTGGAAATACTTTATGTTTTGTTTTTTTTTAATTTTAGTTACCTGTTTCTTCATTTTACATTGACAACCTATGATAAAGGTCATGTGCTAATATTCTCACTTTACAGAAGGGGAAAATAAGGTTTAAAGAAATTAAGTAGTTTAATTATGATCACATAGAACTGTATGAGTAAGAGAACTGAGTCTAAAATTAAGTCTTCACATGTAAAATTTAGAGTTTTTTCCTTGGCCAAGGATGGTTTGACCAAAAGCTAGTTTGGTTCCATTTGCTTTAGAATGATTAGGGTTAAACTATTGCAATCATGCAGTATGGAATAGAATTGGGTCCCTGATTGACCCATTGTCTGTGTGTTAGATGTTTTCAAAATCAAACAGACAAAACTATTTTCTGAAGAAAATCTTGACCGTGCCTATGGATACTTCTATTCGGACATTTTTCTGGTAGGCTTCTATCCCTAGCTGAGTGGCTGTTAAGATGTGAGTCTGATTTCATATAGGTCTGGCAGCAGAGAGAGCAGGTCTCCAGGTATTTGCCAGGCAGTACAACCTGGCACTCACAGCTATGTAGTAGTAATTGAAGGCATGGGGGAGTGATTGAGGGAGCCTTGCTTGATGCACATGCAGTCATTCCCTTTTCATATTCATATACTCTTAAGTCAGAGCAGCAGCAGCACCTAGCCCCCACAAAGTTGCTTTACTAGATTGCTATTTGCTTATTTGCCATTACAGTAGATATTAAGGATTGTTATAAGAAACAATTTTCTAAAACTATTTCATCTATTATAAGGACATTGTGGGAAATTATTAATTATGATACACCATGTCTTTTATAATAAAACTTTTTTGAGAGAAAACTGTCTGACCTTAATACAAAGAAAGCTTTTTCTTCTCCTGGGCAATTGCTTTGTTTTTACCTTATGGACATTGTGAATGTTTAACTTAATGCTCTCTGGTTAGCTGCCAAACAGCTTAGAGCCCAATTTGTGGCCCACCCATAACAAATGTGCTCTATGCCTCGTTAACATTGTTCCTGGCTCCAGTTTATGTTTCTGTTCAAGTTATTTTCTTTCTGCTTTAGAAAATCCTAATTCATTATTTTATATAGAGATAGATAGATAGATACACACACTCTTAAACAGCCTTATGTTGTTCCTGAAATAGTTCATATTATGACATACTGTATGCACATAAACCCCTCTTTAGTCCTTCTTAGTTACCTAATTTACTTTAGCTTTTTTCTTTGAGGGGTATATTTATTTTTTATATAGGTTTTCTGCAGGGCTTTGATAACATGAAAATTGTTGTGTCACAAAATTCTGTTGTTTTAATAGTATAACCAAGTGGCTAAATAACTGACGTAATGGCCCGAATTGATTAAATTAGTCATAATTCTAGCCCAGCTTTCACGGCAGTATTATTATTTTCTTACAATATGCTTTGCTATGTAGTGTCAATCTGCATGTGACAGTTTATTGCTTTGTGACTTTTAAAAACATTGTTATGCTGCCAAGTCAGTGCACATCAATGAACTCTGTTAGGCTCGAATATTGTTACCTTACCACACTCATTGTCTTTGTTAGCACCTTACCCCGGGTGATCATGAGCATATTAATCTTTTCATATGACTTGTCTTGCTCCACTCTAAGTCATGCTTTTGTTTGGTGAAGATGATATGAACTGGATATTTGTTTCCAAACTTCATTTGCTTTCATTGGTTTAGAGCTCTATCTAGATTGTCTTATCATCTTACTAATAAAATCCAATTAATAACATAAATTTTCTTTGTATGACAATTTTAATATCTTTAAGTGAAATGATTTGGCCTCTTCTGCAAACTGTCTGAAGCATATAAAGCAGATATATGCCCTTTTTTTACAGGTAACAAAAACAAGGACAAAATCACTTAAATGACTTGTTCAAGCCGATACTAGCAAGTCAGTAGTAGAACTAGGGCTAGACGCTTGTCTCCTGATTCTTACCACACTACTTACCGACACCAAAAGAAGTCCTAACTTTCATTATAAAATTACACAGTCGTTATCTCACTCCTTGAGGTTAAAGATAGGAATTGGGCAAAGATACGGCAGTTATATCACTCATGTTCTTGGCTGAGCACAATCAAGAATGAATTTCATTTATAGTACTTTTGTGATGCTCTGTTCTTGAAATTACATTTCTTTTTAATTACAACTCCAGTCACTGTCACTTTCCATTATGGAATGAGGAAGCAATATTTTATCTTATCTCTTAAAAATTAATGTTGAAATGGAAACTATTTCCCTTGGTAATTAGTAACATTTTTCTTTAGACTCTTTGAAAATTCATCTTTAATATAAAAAAATAATTTTCCATTGTTATCATGCATATTCATTCATTAAAGGGCCAAATACATGGTTAATGCCATGGAGTTTGGTAAAACATTAGTTACTGATTTTAAGCAATCTCTGTATTTAAAAAGGAAATTTAAAAATCCATGCTTACTTTTTCAGCATGGAGAACTTCCAAAGTTTTTATTCTAACTTAACATAAAGCCCTTTATGCTAGAGTTTCCTGAATGTTTACTCTTATCCAGGCATTGTTGCTAAACAGTTTACAATTGTATTTAATCTTTACCAAAACTCTATAAGAGTAGCTATTATTTATGATCCCCATTTGACAGCCAAGTATTGTATTCAACAGTAACTATTGTCTTCTGCCTCTCCTTCAGCTTCTGGAATTTCTGAGCAGCGCTGGTCAGTACAAGATGGACCCTGTAGTCTTGAGTTACATGGACAGTCTACTGCGGCAGTCAGATGTCTCTCTATTGGATCCTCCAAGCTGGCTCAATGACCATATTATTGGGTTTGCCTTTGAGTACTTTGCCAACAGCCAGTTTCATGATTGCTCTGCTGACGTCTGCTTCATCAGCCCCGAAGTCACCCAGTTTATCAAGTGCACCAGCAACCCAGCAGAGATCACCATGTTCCTTGAACCCCTGGATCTCCCCCACAAGAGAGTTGTATTTTTAGCCATCAATGATAATTCCAACCAGGCAGCTGGGGGAACCCACTGGAGTTTACTGGTTTATCTCCAAGATAAAAATAGCTTTTTTCATTATGATTCCCATAGTGAAAGCAACTCAGTCCATGCAAAGCAGGTAGCAGAGAAGTTGGAGGCTTTCTTAGGCAGAAAGGGAGACAAACTGGCCTTTGTGGAAGAGAAAGCCCCTGCTCAACAAAACAGCTATGACTGTGGGATGTACGTGATATGTAACACTGAGGCCTTATGCCAGAACTTCTTTAGGCAACAGCCAGAATCACTATTGCAGCTACTCACTCCTACATACATCACAAAGAAGAGAGGAGAATGGAAAGATCTTATTGCCAAACTTGCTAAAAATTAGCTATTGAAGGATATTTGTGACTTTCGAAGTCTTCTTTCTGTCTGTACCCATTTATTGGATGGCTGCAGTCTCAGTGCCTGAGGGAAGATGCCTGGTAGAGAGAACTTAGGATTCTTATTTTTTTCCTGCAGGAATGTCATCCTCTGCATTATCCTAATGGAAAATTTCACTTTAACCCTAACTTAAGAAACAGTATGTTCTATGGAAATGTCTTGAAGTTATGCAGCAAAACCTTAAAACCAAGCTATCTTAACATTTGTTAATTCCTTTTTTGGTATTTCTTAGCCACATTGGCTTATTTCAAAGGAACAGCAGTGACCTGTAAAACAAATTAAGACTGTAAATCTAGAGGAATGCAAGAAGTAAACTATATAAAAGAACCAAAATTTATTGTACAAGCCACTGGCTACTAGATCATGACCTAACCTAATTCAAGATCTAAATATTATGAAAATCAGTTTTTCAGTTTTGTGATATTTCTTCCATTCACCATGCAAAGTTTTCCCAGCTATCTGCATACCCTTTGCAAAGATTTGATAAAGATAATGTTAGCCCATCTTCTGCCATCTGATTCCTGGAATGCTTTAAGAAAGAGGGAATCCTGAGTAGCTTCATTCAATTAAATGGCTGTGATAGACCTCTTAGTTTGCTCAGTGAGTGGGTCAGTTTGCTTCTCTGGATTGATAATAGCTTTCTTTCACCTCATTTGTTATCCATGCACACCCTCCTTATTTCCATAGTGCTATACTTTTAAAACTCATAGCTGATAACTTCCCAAGGTTATGTTATTTCAGATAAATATTTTGCTTTCTGATAGAAATAGTTTTTCCTTCTCTCTTATTAATCTGGCAGAATTGTTTTCAGTTATATGATGGTGATTTGGGGACTTTTTTTTTTGAAACTTAGAAACTAAAAGTTGGTTTTTGAGATATCAAGGAGAAAAAGTGACCTTTCTCAACCCTTTCACTTAATTAAAAATGCAGACAATGTAATTTTTTAAATGTGGAACCAAGAGTAAAAGGAAATGCTGCCCTTTCTAAATCACTGATGTGTTTTTTCAGAGTTGTTTCAAATAACAACCAGATGATGTGTTGGGTGCACACATTAATTCTATTCCTAATGAGAATTGGATTGTGATGCATATGAGACTTGAAAACCAAAGGTTAGCTTCAGCCATGAAACTGATTTTAGCTACCTCCCCAGCCTAACCCTGCCCCCAGCCCTATGGCCCAAAATAACCTCACCACTCAGTGACCACAGAGGCGGTTAACTCAGTTCCTTTTAGGAAGGGAAAACACAGTAAGTGTAAGTAAGTAGCAGTTACATAGCAGGTCTGAGTGAACACAAGTTGAAACTGAAAAAGAGAAAGCAACAAAAAGTTTCCATGTCAAGTCTATGTTTTGGATAAAAAAGAGACCTAATGGAAGACAGACAGGAGCCAAAAAGAGATTAGGAACTGGCAATCAGCCACGGAGGTGAAATAGGGAGGGAGAGCAAGAGGAGTGACAGGTTGCTGAGGCCATGACTGTAAATAATAAGAAAGCAATGTTATTTAAATAACAGACTATAGAAGTGTCATATCCTCCCTGGGAAATGTTGTCTTTCTGGTAATGCAAAGTATGTCTGTTTAAATGTCAGATTGTCTCCTTCAACACATATTGTTGTGGAAAAATCCCAAAACCAGTCCAGTGAAGAACCAAGTAGTAACTTGGAGAGAAGGAGAACTCAGGTTTATTAAACGCAGCCACAGAGGAGCTAGGAGCTATTACACGCAGTCACAGAGGAACTAGTGCTCTGAAATCTGGGCCCCCGAGCTATGTTGCAACATTCCTTATATACCAGTCTATTACACGAGCTGATTGGTTGATTCGAGCTTAAGCAGAGGGAGTTGCTATGGTTGCAAGTAGTAACATTGGTGGAAGGGCAGGAGTTGTTATGGGTTACTGCTGGTTACATATTGTTACAGGAAGCTGGGATCTGCCAAAGTACTGAGGTACTACAAGGTTGCGGGGGGTGGCTGCTAGGGGTACAGTTACATATCGAGCAAAGAGCAAGTGAGTTCTTGCATGAGCTCCTGCATACAGCAAGCATATTTACAGAAGCAGAACAAAGAGCTGATTCCCTTTTTGATGTAAATTCCTCACATTTCCTCTTCATTCCCCCCCTTTTGATGCCTCTTTAGATTCTTCATAGGGCATCAACCTCATGATCTACCTTTTGATCTCTCAGTGCCAGGGACTGCAAAAGGATCTTAGCTGCAGGTTTGGGGGTTTTGTTTTTTTTTTTCCACTATAGCCTCTGAGGGAGGTGATAACTGGACAACAAGAGGCAATAGGCAAGGCAGAAGTAGGCAGGCACTGAGGAGGAGGAGTATTATTCCAACTAAGGTCTTAAAGCCTCTAAAGGTAGAGAACCAACCTCCAAAAAGGCTATCAGGGTCCCATCCATGCCATACTTGCATGGGCACATGTGCCAGTTTTGTCATCTGCTTGACAAGATCTTCAGCTGCCTGTCATCTATCTGCATACAACAGTTGGTGAGATTGAATTTCCCACATACGCCTCTTGCTGCTGCTAATAAATATAATCTAGTGCCAACCTGTTCTGGTAGATGGCATTTCTCATCTGAGTCTGTTGATGTGCAAGAAGAGTCAGGGCTCTCCCAGTCTCATTCATAATGATTTCTAAAACTGCTGCAGTCACATAATTCAGTTTAACATGTAATTGGGGGTACAGTATCCCCAAGATTCATCTTTTGCCCAAGTGGCAGGCCCATAGTATTGGATTATTCTGGGGACCACTCATCATCCTTCCAGTCTCCTATTTGGAGTTTTCTTTTTACCCTTTGCAAGGGTTGTGGGACCGGGTGACCAAGCTGTTCCCCTGTTTTCAGAGGTAAAAGGAAAAAGGATGGTTTTATCATGCCAATTACACAGCTTCCTTCCCAATTTGTGGAGAGGTGGATATAGGCCATGCTTCCACAAATCCAGTAAAGCCCTCATGGGGCCATTATATCTGGCATTGCCTGGTTGGGAACAAATTCAATAGCTTCCGATGGCCATCTATCTCCCACTAGAGTTCCCCCACATACACAGCAGGAAGTGACATTCAAGGAGTGAGCTATTCAGCCATTCTGAGAAATAATAAGTTTTTGATTGATTGTAGCAATGGGGGTAGGGGTTCAGTTACTTCCTTGTAGAAGGACTTATAAACATGAAGGACTTGGGCTGAATGGGCTAGTACTTGACCTCTAATACAAATATGAATTGGAACACAGGGATTTAGCCCCTGTCCCATCAATGTCAAGTGTTAATACTTCTCCGGAACTCCAACGGGGTTCGAGGGGTTGGCTATGATTAATGGATTGCAAGTATGTGTGGTACAGTTTGATAAGGCTACCCCTTTTCTTAAATGCACCTCTTTCTTGGTGGTGTCTTTCTCCCAAGTAACCCATAGGACACACGACCAATAGGCACAGCTTGTTTCACATGAGGAACTGTGGGGACATAGATACTTTTCTTCTGTACTGTAACTTTCTTCCCAGCTGAGAGATCTACAGGATCTCCTTTCCATTGGCCCTGACTCAGCAGCACAAGCATCAGACTTTAGGATTATCCGATTAAGATTTTCTTTTCCTTTAGTCTGGGCCAACATGGGTCTGTCTGTCCATCCTCCCCCGTGGTCCCTCAGAGCTACCCTTATTTCAAGAACTGTTTCAGTGGAGGGTTGTTTGGGTTGTAACATACATGAGGTTGATTACTTCCTGGGTCGCATATTGAATATTGAGTCTGGTTATAGGTACAAGTCCCTTTCTGAGTTCCTTGGCATTCAAAGTAGCTATAGAAAATTAAGGTAGTGGAAATTCTCTTACCTCCTTTGGTGACATGAATACATAGCTCACAGTCCTCTGCCCTAATTTCCTTCCCTCCCCAGTGTCCAATTATAAGGAGTCCCATGATGAAATTCCTCAGGCTTTGGCCGTGCATGGAGCAGCCAGCTTCCAGCTTATGGCTGGAGCAGGGCTTGTTGTCTTCCTACTTAACGAGAGTGGGTGGAATCTGTCTGTGCCGTTTTCAGCCGACTGTGGTGATGGTCGATCCTCAAGCTTCTGCCATGCGTGGACTGGCTAGCTTCTGGGGTGGCCACAGCAGGGCCGACGAGCTCAGGTGGACTTCTGCTGCCTCTGGAACGTGACTCGGAGCGGTTGATCAGGAAGAGGCTCTGCAGTCCAAGTCTACCGGCTTTCCGGAGGTGCTGTTCTCTTTACCCACATGTAGTGGATCCATGGGGTGATACCTGCAACTTTAATAGCAGTGGCAATTGCTAATATAACAGTGCGAGAGTCTGTCCAGCTTGGCTAGAGTGGCTCCTTTTTCCATTCTTTAACCCATACTGCATCTCTTGGCTAAAAGGGGTGGACCCAATTCCTTAAAGGGATAGGGGCTCTTTCCAAAGTTTCCTGAGTGATGCTACAGAGGATCTTCCCTAAGGCCTGAAGGTTTTGGGACACTTCTAGATCAGCCATTAATTGAGGGTTTCTTTTAACTTTCCTATCACTGGGGGAGGTCTCCCGTAAAGGATTTCGAAAGGAGTGTAGCCTGAAGGTCTTGGGGTGCATCGCGTTCAGAGTAGAGCTAAAGGCAGCATATCTATCCACGGTAACTGGGTTTCCTGACAAAGCTTAGCTAGAGTGGTTTCGAGGATCTGGTTTATGCGTTCAACTTTCCCTGAACTTTGTGGTCTGTAGGCAATGTGGACCTTCCATTTGATTCCTAGAGCTTTGGACAAGGTCTGGACCCTCTCAGACACAAGGCAGGTCCATTGTCTGATCCTATAGAGAGAGGTAGTCCATATCTTGGAACAGTTTCCCTCCATAAGGCTCTGGCTACTTCTCGTGCCCATTCAGTGCACGTAGGGAAGGCTTCAACCCATCCAGAGTAGGTGAAAATCCACACAAGCAAGTATCGGTGGCTCCTGCAGGGCTCGACCTTAGTAAAGTCCACTTCTAGGTCTTCGAATGGCATAGTTCCAATTGTTTGCACCCCTGGGTTAGGCCTTGGTCTTTGACCAGCGTTATTTCATGCACAAGTCACACACCTAGCATTGATCTGGGTTGGGAGTTTGGGTATGAAATACTAGCAGCCTAACAGGTTTTCTAAAGAAGTCTTCCCCAGGTGAGTTAATTCATGGTGTTTTATAAGCTGAACTGCCAGTGCAGCGGGAACAAAGAATCTCTGATCTGGAAGCTCCCACCAGCCCTCCTTCCTCCTGGATCCCCCTTCACTTGAAGCCCATTGATCTTCTTCCTTAGTGTACTTTGGGGATAAAGGCAATTCTGGCGCTAGGAGGACCTTGGAGATTGGTTTAGGACCCGTTGCGACACTCAACTGATGGGCTGCTTGGTCTGCTAGTCGGTTTCCCCTACTAACAGGGTTGGTTCTCCTCTGGTGGCCTCCGCAGTGAATGACTGCCACTTTTAAAGGCTTCCAGACTGCCTCTAGCAGTTGGGGGATTTCTTCTTCGTTCTTGATTTCCTTTCCTCCCACTGTCAGTAATCCCCTTTCTTTATAAATGGCTCCATGTATATTCAAGGTAGCAAAGGCTTACCTTGAGTCAGTATAGATATTGGCATGTTTTCCTTCAGCCTGTCGCAGTGCCTGGATGAGTGCCCATAGTTCAGCCCTCTGTGCTGACCAGCCCTGTGGCAGGGCCTCACCTCTGATTACCTCATCAATAGTTGTTACTGCGTAGCCGGCTTTGCACTGTCCTTTATGAAGCTGCTCCCATCTATGAACAATGGGAATTCTGGGTCCTGAAGAGGAACATCTGTCAGGTCTGGCCTGCTTGAGTAAACTTCATCTGTGACCTCCTCCTAATTGTGGTTGGGAGGCCCCTCCTCAGTGGGCAGAAGTGTAGTAGGGTTCAATGTTTGTAAAGTTTCGAGACAGACTTGTGGATTTTCGCAAAGCAGTCCCTGATAATGAGTCATTCTGGGGTTGGTCAGCTGTTTATGTCCTTGATTATTCATTAATGCAGTTACAG